TTATAACCTCTGGTGCTTTAGATCTAAACCCGATTCCTTGTTTTGACACAGCAAAAGTAAAACCTCTCTTTCACCAACTCTTTAAGGCCTTTTCTGTCAGAATGACCAAATAACTAAAAGCCTCCCAGCATTGCAGAGTGGGGACTCCAGCTGCCACCAGCCTACCAGCCTCAATCTTCCACCAGCCCGCAGATCTTTTGGATGCGTATTCTGGGACATGGGGCTTGGTACAAGCTGCCAGAGTGCCACCATGACAGCTGTCCCTGCTTTGACAGAATTAGTGAGATAAACACAGCCAGAGACAGAGGGGCCCAGTGTTTGTACTTGATAAGTGAGATCAGACGAGACTGCTGCACTGTCTTTGAGAAAAGGAACACGAGAAACAACAAAGTTATTAAGACTGGGACATCTCACTTAACCTAATTTAATAGAGCTGAATTTTATAATGACATGTCATCAAAAGAAAATGTTCATTAACCTTTATTAAAGGAACAAAACACCCAAATATCGATGCACTCCCACTCAGTTCATAAAAATGAGGGCTATTAATGAATTTTGAGGGGTGCAAAAGAGCTTTAATAGCATCATAATAACATTAACAGATGGAATTTTAATGGGGAAATTATATTTTACCATTAAAATACTAATGCTGTTATGAGGATCCTTTCTGCTCTACTTAAGGCTGCATATTAATTGCAGATCAACTTAAAAACCTGTGTCAACTTTGTGCTTTTAAACACTACACATTAACATCCAGATGATTCCAGAGGAGTAGATTCATAATAGTAATTCTGTTTGTATAATTGAATATGTAAAAGGAAAAAGGAACAAAGAGAAAAGATAAACTTCAGCATCTGAATAAAAATATCTGGTGACTGCTAGGGCTGAAACATCCCACCAATCTTTGCAGGGATTTAGCAGTCTGGGAATACAACACCAGGCTAAATGACTGAAGATTTGCTGTGTCATATATATAGACCCACACCACTGCTATGGCACCGAGCGAAGAGAGAGTGAAAATGAGTACAGGAGGCTTTTAATCATTGCCATAAATTCAATGTCAGGGGACAGAACAATCACACTGATCACAGAAATGTGCACAGGAGACAGTTGTGGAAAGATGTAATATTGTAGTCTCACAAATTTGGACATGCCAAAAACACAAATGGGCCTATCCAGAGTCTGTGTTTGATTCGTCTGTAGATATGTTGTTGTATGCTGTAGAGCTGTTTTTATTCCTTAATTCTTAAGAGATTCGTATCCCAGCATGCTTTCGGACAGACAAGCTGGGAAACATCCTACATATGTATCAACAAACCAGGAAAGAACAAACCGTTCAGAATTTAAAGAAAAGGTAATTGCAATGGCCGAAAAACCTTTTTACTGGTTCTCAAAGTCAAATTTGTGACCTATGGCTATATTAAATTCAATTATAATGCCAAAATGGATGTTATCTCAGGGTACTTTTCATATTTTAGAATAAAGCAGGTCTCGACCATACTCTTTATACAATTAATTATTACAGGAAGAGTCATGCTGTCATCATTTGGGTTTCATTATGTGATTTTGACAATTATTGGAGCAAGCTGAAGCAGCAATTTGAGGCTATGTGAGGCTAAGTTTTAGTCTTACTTACAAATGTAACTTTTACTGTGGGGGATTCTAATGGCAACTGGTACTTTTGCAGCCCTGCTCTCACCCTAATCTCAGGACATTCACAAGCAACACAGGCCAGTACTTCCTTATTTAATTAAATAGTTTGTTGACCAAGACTGTCAGCAGAAAAATAAAGCCATTTTCACTGCTATAGCTACATGTTCAATCTGGAACTTAACATGCACTAAGACAAGATAACATTATTTCAAAATTTAAGATAGCAAAGAAAAAGAAAAAACTTTGGCTAACTCTACTAATGTGGATATACAGTACTTGTTTAATGGGAATATTGTGGCTTGTTAAAGCAATATGACCTTTTGGTAAATATGCTTATTCACTTCACACCAAGAGTTAGATGAAAATACGTATGCATTAAATATAAAGCTACAGCCAGCAGCTTGTTAGCTTAGCACAAACCCTGGAAAAGGGTAAACGGCCTGCCTGACTGTGTCCAACAGTATATTTTAAGTGTTAAAACTATATGTCACTGTTTTCACAGGGTCTTATGTGTGGAACCATTCCTTGGCTGGAAGCATCAACAACCTAAAGTCTCTCTTGGTTGAAAAATTGTGTGGCACATAACCCTATCAAAACCATTTTTTATACTTTATATTTTTTACGGATTAAACAAAAGATATAGTGCGTTAATCTTTGGGTTTTACAGATGCTGGTAGGGAAATTTTTGTTACCATTGGACGAAACCAGGATAGCCCTTTCCTTGTTTCCAGTATTTGTGCTATACTAAACTAACCGGCTGCTAGCTGTAGTCATATACTGAATAGATGTAATTATACACTGTAAGAGTGGTAACTATCTTCTCATCTAACGCTCAGAATGAAAGGAATAAGAGTATTTCCCAGAATGTCAAACTACTCCTTTTATGAAGGTAATGTAGTCTCAAATAGAGGCTGTGGTAGTCAGGCAAACTCCTGCTGTATACTTGCTAAGCTGCAAGTATACCCTATTCCCACAGTGGGACCCCGAAATGATTCTGTTCCTCTTCATCAGTTCTAATTGCCCATTTGAGACCTTTATTATGACGCTGCACGTTCTTTAAAGTCAGTTGCTGCGATCCATTTCAACCTGTTTGGCAGTTTGCAGTGCAGTGAAGTTCTTCCCGAGGATCATATTGGATCTTGGATGACCCAGAGAAATTCCAGTCCAATTGGTTGCTGTGGCATTAATGATTAACAGTCCACTAGTGATGATGGGGTCTGCCTGGCTTGACCTTTCCACATGGCTGTATTTGCAGCAGAAGTAAGCACCAGGCTTTAGCATCACGATAGCCTTGCAGTGCTCAAACAGCTGCACCTTTATCCCTTGGCCTTAGCAACTGAGTTGGAGGCCTCGAACCAGAGCACAGGGTGGGGGGGATAGCTGTGTGCCAGCTGAACACAGGCAAGAGGCAATGGCTGAGGGCTGGGGGGCAAAGACCGAGGGCATGCTAGTAGTTAGTTGAGCAAAACAGACCTTGAGAGTCTTGAGGTTTTAATTAGACCACATGTCTATAGTTAAGTGATCTTAAATGAATGTTTCTCACGCCTGGGTTAAATACTTAAGTAGGCTTAATATGGTAACCTAATGTATACATAAGCAATATAAGAGGAACATGTTAAACATATGTCTAATTCTTATGTATGTGCTCAAGTATTATGAAGGAAACCCCTCTAGTTTTTTCCTAAAAGTAAATTGGATGCATGAATGAAAAGATGCCACATGTCTGTGAGGCAGAGTAATCACATTAAATCTTTTTCCAGTCTTGTACTTCTGTCTGATCAAGTGTCATCTGACTTCAATTTTGCCTCCTAGTCCAAACAACACAGATTCCTGTTTGTCCTAACTTCCCGTTCAAACATTGGCATTCATGGCAGCATTGCCAAGCTAAATATATTTAAACAGAAATTTAAATTGGTTGGTTTCAAATGGTTTTTGAAGAGCAGTAAAATCTCCTTTCCACGGAAACACTAATTAAATAAGACTAAGAATCTACATGCTAGCTAGCTACTTCAACACAGCGGTGCTTTAAGCTAAATTCGAATGTCAACATACTAAAATGACAATGTTAACATGCTGATGTTTAGCATGAATACCATGTTCACCATCATAGTTAGAATGTTAGCATGCTACCATGTGCGTATTAGTACTTATAATAAGTACAGCTGAGGCTCAGAGGAATTATTATTATTATTAGTTTTTCAGGTATTTGTTCAAAAAGCTAAGTATTTGAAAAATTTTATGTTGGCCTGACGATGGCATTAGATAAAAAACAATGAAAGTATCACCAATATTCTTACAATTCATCCCGAGGGAAAAATTTATCGGTGTATCAAATTTCATGACAATTCAATCAATAGTTTATGAGTCTAAAAGTCGAGATATTTCAGTCTGTTACAAAGTGGTAGACTGACCGGTAGCAGTGCTGAAAAAGAGCTCTTTTTATACATAATACACACATACAAACACAAATATATGCATACACATACACACAGTACAAACACAACACTTTGTGGCACACCAATCTCTTTATGGCAGTCTACAAATAGAGCACTTGAATCTAGTGACGCATTTTCTCACTGGAGAGTGTCCAGGGACCACCAGGTCAGGAAAACCTGCTGCAGAGAAAGAGAGAGAGAGAGAGAATTTGGAACAGTACCAGGTTGATGGAGGGTGGTGTAGCAGTGTGAACAAAAGAGTGTAGGGTTGCAAAAAATAGTGCTAAAGTTTTCTTAGAAACTGTGTGGGTGTCTGGTCTGTCATTACCAGGCCTGGATACTGTTCTCAACACATTGGGAGGTTTGGGATTGAATGTGTATTCCCCTGTGAGGAAAAATATAGAGGTAGAGACAGATGGGACGTATTTAGGGACAAATCTCACAGGACAACCATCTTTGACATTTGACCCTTGGCATCAAAGGCCATAGGAGAGAAAATATTGTGGCATTATGTAACAGCATGCATATGTGTGTGTGTGTGCAATATTATGATAATGATAACCACAGATATCCATGAAGGAAAGGAGACAGTAATTGAGAAGAATGGCTTGCTGTCTTCCAGAAAACAGAATAGGGAGGGATGATATCAGTTATATGATAAGGCTGTCGTGGGGAGAAACAAAAATATTAGAAGGATGTAGTAAAATTGAAGTGACTGAGTGAATCACTGGTGGGTACGTGAGAAAGTGAACAACTGAGTGACCTTAAAAGGCCACGCGGTCTCACTGGTGACTGAATGAGCAAGTGAAAGGGGGCCTTGGGGTTATCTCTGTGAAGCGCCGCCGTATTTATAGATCATCTCAAAAAAGATCCCCTGCCCCCCGCCATTCAGTTGCCCCTCCCCCGTTTTCAATTAGCCCCTGATGGGTGGAGTAATGCAATCAGGAGTAACTACAGCTCACCCGCAGCCTTCTCTCTCAGTCTGCCCCAGACTCCGCACAGGCACACACTCCTCAGATAGGAAGGTAAGACCCAACTCTGTTCAGCTGCTCCACTATCCATCCATTCACTTGTCCATCTTTCCACCCATTTGTCCTTTCACTGGTCTTCATTCACCATGCCTTCCATTCTCCGGGACACAGCTGCTCACTGTGCTCCAGCATCCTCCTACCTGCCTCCTCCCCACCTGCCTGCTCATGTTCTCCTTCTTTCCACCTGCACAGTACCCTCACTATTTAACCGCCTCCTCTCTCTCCCAACTTTCTGTCCTCCTGTCTGTCTCAGAGACAGCCTGACTTCTCTTTTATTAAATAGTTTTATTAGGCTTTCTATTTTTGTCCAAGAAAAAAGGCAACCCAGAGCTCTTTTTCACCTTCTTCCCTCCCTTCCCATCAAGCGCACTCTTCCCTTCAGCAAAACTGTCTTGATAAAGGTGTATACTCCTCACTTACACCATAGTGACTTCCGTTGTTCCGCAAACTGATCTGTTCTTTTGCTTTTTTTGTGGTTTTTCAGCATTTGATGCACTTCACAACATTTTGGGGTGATGAAAGTGCTAAAAAGGTACCTGCTAATACAAAACAACAAACAGGAAAATTAAGCGGTTCTTGGGGTGATCTCTACATAATAGAGCAATATAGTTTAACATATAGTACATATACAGTACAGCTTGTAATTGTACAGCTGATGGAAGGAGTCAGGTTGAATTGCAAACTATTTTATTGTATTTACTTTGAGTATTAACTGTAAGTCAAGGTTTAATGGAATTTTTAAAGGAACATTTAAAGGAACATTCTCAATTTACAGCTTAATTTGATTTAACATTTTATTCCATTATCCACTTACTCTTCTATTATAAGCTCTTTGGTTCAAACTTATTTAATTGACCAAGAATTCTTCCAGACGTGTAGAAAATGAATGTGAGAAAGCTGTTCAGAGGTCTCACTGTCAGAGAAAGTACTTGTTTATGATTTCATTTCTGTAGATGGTTTTATGAATCTTTCTGGAAGTATAGGAATAAAGAGTTGTAGATTGTACAGTAAGATTTATTGGGCCATATAAGACATTTTAATTCATGATGATAGAATTGCTATCAAGAATTCCTTAAAAAAATAGAAAATAACTGTATTTTTAAACAAAACAACAACATTTTTATCTGAATGTACAGAGAGTTGATTGTCTGGTGCAAACAGTGCCTTTAAGCACTGGAACTTTCTGGGGATAGACCAGGCTGCAAACACTTGCCCTCCAACTGGCCGTAGATCAGTTTGGCATCAAGCGATTTGCACTGAGAGACTCCCAGATGAGCAGCATCAAAGAGACCCCAGAAGCTGGCAAACAGCTGAATGACATGTCTGAATAGCTGAAGGTTTTATTTGTGGCAGTTCAGATTGTCCTTTTTTTATTTTTAGGAGTTGGATAAATCCTTATATAAGCTAGGTGAGTCATGGTGGGAGCAACAGACAATGAGGGAATGTGGGAGGGGTTGAGAATAACTCGGAGCAGAAAGGACAGGCAGATTAAACGTCTCAGCCAGATAAAAGATACAAACCCTCTTGAATGTTGGGAACATCACAAATCACTCACAGATATCATGTTGGACCACTGAGGTGGGAATAGACGGTGATCACAAATAGATAAAGGGGAAGAAGTATCTGACAGTCCAAGCACAATAAAGCAGCAGGATCAAGGCAATAACAACAGAGGAGGAGAGGGGCTCAATTAAAAACAAAAATGCAAGAAATTAAGAAAAGCTGCAAAAACTGAAACAGTGGATGAGGAGGGAATATAAAATGAGTAATTAAGTTTTCTAGCTTTTTTTTTCTAAGCTCCTCCTATGGTTTTTGCTGAAGAATCAATAGACAATACCGTAGTAAAGCACGTGTGTGAGTGACAAAAACCCTGTGGTGTTATTAAACCCTGTATGCACTGGGACACTGGACAACTGCACTTTTACTTTACCTTTTTCTCATATCTTATATACCACTCACAAAGACACACATACTGTATACTCAAATATATAGCCTACACTATCCTTGGTCAACAGAGAGTAAGAGTATTTAAGTACAGGTGGGATAACCAGAGGGCTTAACAGGCGGGCCACAAACAGCTGCAGATTGTGAGTAGCCATTATTACGAGTGCCATTCAAACCCACTTATACACTGACACACACACACTCTCACTCACGTACATGCATGCAAGATGACAAGGGATACTGTGATTTGGTGCTGACAGCTGGATGTGAGGTGACGGATGAGTCAGTGTACAGTGGCATGGTGAGCGTTGGTATGCAACGGGGCAAAAGTTGTCTCTAAGCAGGACTGATAGGAGTTATTTATATCCTCCTCATCTGTCACCTTCTACTTCTGACACCAAGAACCAAATGAAGGACTGCTGAGAGATGGTAGAGAGAGATGAAAGTGGAAAAACGCAGCATGGAAAAACCCTGTAATGAAGGATCTTGATAGTGATTGTGTCCTAGAATAGATTGATTGGTTGGAATGTATGATTTCTAAGAAACTGCTCTCTGCTGACTGTGACTGCAAACATGTATTTAAACTGAGCAGCAAAAAGACAAAACTGTCTACCAAACTTAATGTTATTTAGGTGATAAGATGTAGAAAAATCCTCATGGGGAAATTTATCAGATGTGGTAGTCTAACTCAGCTTCCAACCTCTGTTTGCAGAAAGTCACAATGTTCTGACAGAATACATTCTCTGCTCTCACTTTCTGCGTCTCTTTGTCTTTCTCTCTCTCAGGTGAGTGACCCTGGGTCAAAATGACCGAGCGCTACGACTGCCACTACTGCAAGGAGTCCCTGTTTGGGAAGAAGTATGTTCTGAGAGAGGAGAATCCCTACTGTGTGAAATGTTACGAGAGCCTGTACTCCAACACCTGTGAGGAGTGCAAGAAGCCCATTGGCTGCAACACCAGGGTAAGAGATGTCACAGAAATACATTGTACACATGAGCCCTAACATCCTCTTCCTGTGGGTTTCTGTGTTGAACTCTAAGTGTCATCAGAGTCGGTCTCGCTCTAATCTACTGTTCTTGTAGGATCTGTCCTACAAGGACCGTCACTGGCATGAGGACTGTTTCAAGTGCTTCCAGTGCAAGCGCTCGCTGGTGGACAAGCCTTTCTCCACCAAGGATGAACAACTCCTCTGCACTGAGTGCTACTCCAATGAGTATTCCTCCAAGTGCCATGAGTGCAAGAAAACCATCATGCCAGGTAAGAATACAGCAACAAAAAGAGCAACATTCTTAGGTGTTGCCAAAACCAGATAGCAAAATCCAATCTCTTATATGAAAAAGCTCTCTACTCAGCTTAATTGTTAGCCCTTGTCACCCTGTTAATATCACATATATTAATACAGATTTTAGTAAAAATGTCCATGTTTCACCAACCAAAATATTGCAATACATATGCGTCAAAGTAGGACAAATACAGCAATGAATTTTAAGTGTTTTGTGCAGTTCATAAACCACTTGGCCTCCAGCACCATAAATGCTTCCAGTGCATCGCTGTATGTGAAGGAATGTGATAGAAAGTAGATCTATAGTAAGTGTCAGAATAGTGCATCTGTAAATGTGTCTATTATATTAAAGGCACAATAAACCAGTGTAATTATGTTAGATGGGTAGATGTTCACAGGAGTCAGTCACAACATATATCACCATGTTAATATACAGTTGCAGGGGGTTGTGACTACAAAGACCCATATGGTATTAAGTTTCAGAAAATTCCTAATATTTATGTAGAACAATTAAGCTCAAGTAAGTGGACCAATTGCTCTAAATGTAAATCGTTATCACAAACAAGACCAAAATGGATAATTAAATGTATATTGTTTCTTGACTCTACAACACTCTTTTTCTGTTTTTCTAATCCTGTCTTACTGGTTGCATCCCTTTACTAACTCCATCCATTCCTTTCCTTTATTTTTTCTTCTGAAGGCTCCAGAAAGATGGAGCACAAGGGGAACAGTTGGCACGAGACCTGTTTCACCTGTCAAAGATGCCAGCAGCCCATTGGCACAAAGAGCTTCATCCCTAAGGACAACAACAACTTCTGTGTGCCCTGCTACGAGAAGCAGTTTGCCATGCAGTGTGTGCACTGCAAGAAGGTAAGAAACTATACCTGCTGTACAAACTCTCCAGTGAAACTGATTTTCAGAGTTGCACTCAATCATTCTCCATCTTCTCTCAAAGAACCATGATTACATGTGAAAGAAAACATGTCACTCTTGTTTCGTCTTATCAGCCCATCACCACTGGCGGGGTGACCTACCATGACCAGCCCTGGCACAAGGACTGCTTCCTGTGCACTAGCTGCAAGCAGCAGCTGTCTGGCCAGAGGTTTACCTCTAGAGATGACTTTGCCTATTGTCTCAACTGCTTCTGCAACCTTTATGCCAAGAAGTGTGCCTCCTGCACCACCCCCATTAGTGGTAATGAGAATTATTTATTTATTAGTCTCCCTGCAAAGTAAAAAGGATTGTTTATAAAATCTCTATCAGTTGTTTTGACTTGGACTTGTTCTTCACCTTCAGGCCTTGGAGGCAGCAAGTATATTTCCTTCGAGGAGCGCCAGTGGCACAATGACTGCTTCAACTGTAAGAAGTGCTCCGTGTCCCTGGTCGGCCGTGGCTTCCTCACTGAGCGCGATGATATCCTGTGCCCAGAGTGCGGCAAGGACATCTAACTCAGTCTGAGGGATGACGGATACATCTGATTGGATGACATTGTTATGATAGAGGAAAGAAAGAGATACAATCAGTACTATCAGAGCACAGCATCTTTACTACCAAGCATTACTATGAATGTACATTGTGTATGCAAATACAAACTACTAACAGTGTTATTTGAATCTAGAAAGTTTATTTAAATGTTCACTCTTTGAGAAAAGTAATTACTAATAAAATATAAATGTTGGCATGAATGTAAAGACAATTATGAAACAGCAACATGTTTGCAGATATACACTGTATGAAGCATTTTTAAATAAATCTACAATAGTAATGTAGACTATCACCTTTGAAGTGTAATACTTACTGCTTTGTGCATGGACTACCTTGATGCTGTAATCAAAGGTTTTGTGAATGAGGTTTGCTTCTACCAATAAAATATATTAAAATTGTGTCTTGACTCTTATAATTGCCAACTGTAGCTGTGCATGAAATCACATAGATTTCAGAATTGTTCATACAAAACAGGGGGGCAAAATGTTTCTATTCGAAACTTTTAGGCAGAAAATGCACACAAATTTAATAGTTACTGCCGATTGGTGGGTTTAAGACTTAATGATGAATTTAGATTTCCTTTATTATTTTCAGAATCAGAATCAGAATTATGTTTATTGCAAAGTAGGTTTTTACACTTACCAGGAATTTGTCTTGGTGCATTGGTGCATAAAATATAAAACTCACAAAAGAATAGTACTTGAATATTAGTTTAAGAGTACATTGAGTACCACTTAAGTTACAATACAGGCATATAGAACAAAGGTAAAAAGGCTGCTGACTTTTCTACTGTAATTAAACCAACAAAGGTGATTCATTGTATGAAGACAATTTATTTTAAAAAACTGTTGGTACAAACATGACAATGGATTCAAAATACTTTGTTAATCTCGTTCCTGTGTTCCTGTCATCTGTTTGATTAACCCTGTCTGCATCTATTTCAAAGACAGTAACTGGAAGTCAATTAATCCACACTTCCAAATAAATATACTTCAAAAAGACAATATTCTTGTACATATTCCTTCCTTTTGTCTAAGTTATTAAAGGGTGATATTCAAATATCCGCTTCCTCTGTGTCAAAATGGTCATTTAGCAGTCTATTATGATACAGCTGTATAAGAAAACTGGTTTGTCTCCATGTTATGTGCAACATATGCACAATATCACATTACACTGATATTTAAAAACCTGAACAACTTGTGAATCAGCACTGACGTTTGAATATAGGAAAACCTCAGTGAAATGGAGCTCATGGAGAATAAAAATTACATCCACTGCCGGTTCAGAATTTAAACAAGGTTCAGCACAAATATGGTAGTATGTATTCTTTTTAAAAAAAAAGGTACACCAAAGTATTATTTTTTTAATATTTAATATTATTTGCCTCATAACTTGTTCATAATGCCTTTTAGATTTGTCCATCATTTTGAAAGTCACAATCTCTATGAAAGACTTTAGTGTTTGTCTCAAAACCCTTGCAAACCAGCACCAGAAGCCGTCTTTACTAAAACCAACTCATCCACAGAAACAACCATCATTTCCTTAAATGGTATTTCAGAAAACTAAAGCTGTGTTGATGTTTTTTCCTCTAAAAGATCTCCATGTGTGGGACATGAGTAAAGTTGCTGATCTTTGATGGTAAGGGCACTTGAGGTTGTGGAAAGCGACAAGGAAGCTTGTGACTTCACAAAAGCAGGACGACCTTCGGAGCGCCACCGCATCCTGTCAGCTGTAACACCTGAACGAGAGCTGCGAGGTGGCCTCGGCAAACAGGTATCATCCCTTTTGTGATGCAATTAGTAGGATAACTATGATGGGTAGAGCACAGGCAGTGAGGACAACAACATCTGGTGGGAGGAGAGTGGTCTATCCTTCAGAGCTTGAGTTCCACCAGGTCTGTGTGAACAGGGGTCAGAGGTCAGGGCCATGTCACATGCTGGATCTTTTTCTTCACCTCTGGAGACTTCACTGTATCCTGAAGAGATGGAAGATGAAACAGAAGGTGTTAGTGTAGTGAAACAATGTAAGTTACAAACACTATTTCTTTCTCTGACGGTTAAAGGCCCACTGTGTAACATTTAGGAGCATTTATTGGCAGAAATGGCATAGAATATTCACAGGCATGTTTTCATTAGTGTGTAATCACCTGGATATAGGAATCACTATGTTTTAGAATGAGACGTTTTTAAACTACAAACGCTGCAGCTTCTATGGTGTCCACCATGTTGAATTGCCATGTGTCTACAGTAGCCCAGCAGGGACAAAGGGTGAAGCAACAGGGTTGTGATCTGCACACCGCTAGATGCCACTAAATCCTACACACTGAGGCTTCTCTTGATATTTTCATTATTTGCCTTAAATGAGTTCCAAACCAATTATAATACAAACAATACAATTAAATACAAGAAACACAGAACAATATTAATAGCTGTGCACATTTACGTGTAATTCATAAGTTCCTACCGAGCTGTCTGCTTCTCGTTTGAGGTTTGCTGTGTCAGAGCTGTGTTGAACGGATGAAGAAGAGGAAGATGAGTTTCCAGATAGCTTGCGGATGGGGTTGGACAGGTTTGCAGCAGGGGGAGGTTTTAACCTGTCAGTGACTCCTGTTGACACAGTGGTTCCCTCTGGTTTTTTTACTTTTAGTGGGCCGGAATGAGACGAACTGCCATCAAACACAATCAGAGGCCTTTTCCTATTGTGGTCATTACTGGAACTGGAAATGAACAAACAGTGAACACAATAATCAGTTGTTTACACTCAAACGCATTAAACACATGTTGATAGTGGGAGCTCTGGCTGAGCAGCTGCACGAGGAGAAGCGCTACTCTGTGCTGGCACACTGAGACTATTCCCTCGCCAGTACCGGTTTGGTATTTTGGTGACTCGCCTCACATTGCAGTTGAAGGAGGGACACAGTAGGCGGTGTGCCACACTAAGTCTTGGTGCCAAGAAGGGCCGTGTTTCGTGTCATCTGCTTGGAGCAGGTCAACATTGCTGCTGTGCTGTCAACTGAATTGGTAAAGGCACATGCACATGAACCTCTTTAAAATCACACAAACACCTTCAGTCGTGTTTCATACTCTTAAACTGACATGTGATCACTCAATTGTTTTCTAATTATAGCAATAATGCCTGTGAGGCAGAATAAAGAGCAATGACATCATCCACACAGTTAGTATCTGGTGCTGAAGGCGTTTCCTTTCCACCAGCACCTCTTTATTACAGCTATCTGACTACACACATCACATTCACTGGCTTGTGTGACTTATTGACCAACATGATGTGACAGAAAATCTAATATTTCAAAAGCTTCTAGCTGAAAATATGATTCTCTGTTATTATAAATTGAACTACCCAACAGTTTGTACAAATAGAGTTCAAATGACTAGTTGATTGATAAAATTAACTGGCAACTACTTTGATAATCATAATTATACAGTTTATTATTTTTATTATACAGCACAGTGTGCTAATAGAATTATTTATTATCGTGAATTATTTTAGTTTACTTACTTTAATTTTGAGGTCTGTTGGTTGGACAGAACAATCATTGTGTCACTTTTTTTCACTGTTTTTTTTTACATTTTTTAACAAATCAAAACAATCAATTGATTCATGGAGAAAATAATCAGCAGATGAATCAGTGATGAAAATATTGATCATTTGTAGTCCCACAGAGTTTAACAGTGTATTTTCACAGTTCGGTATTAATACTTTTACTTAAGTAAAGGATCTGAATACTTCCTCCACCACTGATCACCAGACTGCTCTCACTTGCTGGACGTATTGTAATGTTTGACCATGAGGTTGGGGTTCTGGTACATAGGGTGAGTGCTGGGGTCACACTGGATCAATCAAAACACAGTATTGTCCATCTTGAAACCTTCTAGTTAGCGTTAAAGAGCTGGATGATAATGAAGCTCCAAAGCTTGTTTCCTGTCTCACTGGTTCAGTATATCGTGTTGGCGCTTGTGTCAGATGAACACCCCATGACTGATGACGTCCAAAGCTTCAAACATCACTGCTGCTTCAGAAAGAGCTTCATTCAGTTTAAAGTTTGGCAGATAAACTACGGAGAACATTAGCGGAATAAGGAGAGAGCTGAATACTTTAGAAATATGGCACTGCACACTAAAATTATATAATCCCAACTATGGGAACAGCTCCACTTAATACCAAGCAATAATAAAATACACGTAATTGGTTAATCTAGTGAATATCACATTGTGACTCATATGAAAATAAAGTAATTAACCATGACCAAGTTGAACCAAGTTGAAACACATGACTCCACAGAGCCACTTGGCCTAAACTACTCCAACAAGGTACATTCATATTTCCTGCTACATCTCTGCTTTTTGGGCAGTGCATTCATTTATTGATTTACTGTAACATATTGCACCATACTATCTTTATTACATATTTAATGATAACGTGCACATTCACATGAGACTAACACCATTACAATCAGAGAGCTGTTGTTCTTCAGCTCCAGTCCTGAAGAGCTGCTCTAAGTTCTGCACACCCACAACATGTCACCGTGTTGCTGAGTTTAAAGCACTAACATTTGATTTTTCAGCACAAATAGACAGAAAAGCCCCAAAGCTTCATCAGCGGTTACCTGTCTGACCTGTGCCCAGCCGGGGTCTGCCTCCCTCGGCTCTTCTCCATCCTCTTCCCCCAGCGGCTGGTGGGTAAAGTCCTCTGCGGCAGCGGGATCACATGCCGGAGGTAGAGCTCCGTGAGCCGGTCCCGACTCTGGCAGTCCCTGGTACTGATATTTCTCTGATTCAGAGAGAGAGAACTGTTAGCTCCAGATGTTAAACATCAGTCAACGTTGCTAGTGAAACAGCCAACGAGCCTTTGCTGGCTGTTAGCCGGTGTGCTAACCATTACACACCCTTCCTCCTTCATCTCTCCACGTTCAAAGACACTTTTAGACGTTGCTCTCCGAACATCAACTCACCTCACTTAATATGAGCCGCATGAAGTCTTGAGACAACAGCTCAGGGTGCAGCAATAGATCCACATTACAGCTACTAACAGCATCTCCATCCTGCCCCGTGGAGGTCGCCATATTGGATGCTCATCTATTCCCGACATGCACCGCGTCATAACAACCCAGCATGCCGGGTCATGTCTCTGAAACACTAATGATGACTGCACGTTTCTTGATATACAGTATACATATATATCTATATATATATCTATGGTTTCTGTGCCTATTTGAAAATATCCATTTAGTCATTTTTGTGCAAACTGCAGTCTTCACGACATATGACACATGACATGTGCAGTAGTTTATTAACACACTCCGGATTCATTGAAATAGGCCACTTTACTTTGATTTTAGGGAACATTGTGCATATATTAGGCCTATGGTTCCCAACCTGTTTCCTTAAGGGACCCCTTTTCCATCATTGAGTAAACTGACGACCCCAGACTAGGCGACAGCTGATAACGCAGTGATTTGGTTGAATTGTGAGCAGATTATTTCCTCCATCAGAATCAGAATCAGATTTAT